TGGAGCTTTCATTCAAAAAACCTGTAGCTGATGCCGGAATCACAACATCTATCCATCTCTATCTCTATACTTCTATCTATCTAACTATATCTATCTATCTATCTATCTATCTATCTATCTATCTATCATCTCTCTCTCTCCACCCGTTGAATCCATGCCCTGAATTCCATTCTAGCGGTGTAACTACACTCCGCCCTAACGCCGTCTCTCTGCCTTTTCAAACTCCCAGGGGACGATGCCGAACTCCAGCTCATCCTGGTCGGAAAGTCTGGCGGCGGGAAGAGTGCGACGGGCAACACCATCCTTGGCCGACCGGCATTCGAGTCCCTGTTGGCGGCCAAGACCACCACTGTCGAGTGTCAAAGGGCGCAGGGAACCTGGAAGGGGAAGACGATTTCCGTCCTCGACACGCCCGCTCTGTTCGACGACGAAACGATGGAGACCTCCCTGGAAAAGCAGCGCAAAAGCTGCCGTCAGATGTGCCGCACCGGTCTCCACGCCTTCATTTTGGTCACCCAGGTGGGGCGCTTCACCACCGAAGACGTGGCCGCTGCCAAGCAGGTCTGGAAACTTTTCGGGGACAAGTCCGCCTCCCGGACCATCATCCTGTTCACCTGCAAAGAGGACCTGGGAGGGGACGACCTGGAGACGTACGTCGGCGAGGCCACGAACGAACACCTGTGTAAGCTGATGGAGAAGTGCAACCATCGTTTGTGCGGATTCAACAATAAGGCCAAAGGAGGCGAGCGGGAGGAGCAGGTCGACAAGCTGATGAGGATGGTGGAGATGATAACCAAGGAGAATCAAGGGGAGTCGTATGTCATCCCGGAAGGTCCCGAAAAATAAAACCAGCATTTATCTATCTTTATCTCTATCTATCTATCTCTATCAATCTCTATCTCCATCTATTTATATCTATCTATAAATCTATCCATCCATCCATCCATCTATCTCTTTATCTCTATCTCTCATCTCTATCCATCTATCTCTGTGTAACTAGCTAACACATCTATCTCTATCCATCTATCTTTCTATCTATCTTTCTATCTGTATATCTCTATCATCTATCTATCTTTATCTATTTATCTCTATCAATCTGTCTCCATCTATCTATTTATTTATCTATGTCTGTCTGTGTGTCTATGTATCTATGTATTATCTATGTCTCTATCCATCTCTATTTATATCTGTCCGTCCATCTATCCATTCATCTCTTTATCTCTCTCTCTCTCTCTCTAATCTCTATCCATCTATTTATCTATCTGTCTATCTAGCTAACACTGTATCTATGTATCTCTCTCCATCTATCTTTATCTATCTATATCAGCTATCTGATATAGATCTATCTATCTAATCTATCTATCTACTTACTTATCTATATCTGTGGCTATCCATCTATCTATCTATCCATCCATCCATCCGTTTACTTGTCTATATCTATTTCTATCCATCTCTATCTCTATACCTCTATCTATCTATCTATCTATCTATCTATCTATCTATCTATCTATCTATCTATCTATCAATCAATCTATCTATCTCTATTATCCATGTATCCATCCGTCATCTCTCATCTACATCATCTGTCTTATATCATCTTCTATCATCTATCTATATTATCTATCATCTCTATGTATCTCTCAATCCATCATCTATCCATCAATCATCTATTTATCTAATCTATTATCTATCAATCATCAACATCATGTCTGTCTGTCTGTCTGTCTACCTACCTCTATTATCTATATATCATCCATCATCTATCTATCATATCATCTATCTATCGATCGATCGATCGATCTGTCTGTCTGTCTGTCTACCTACCTATCTTTCTATCTACTTACTTATCTATCTCTATCCATCTCTATCTCTATCCATCTGTCTGTCTGTATATCTATCTATCTGTCTGTCTGTCTGTCATCTCTCTCTCTCCACCCGTTGAATCCATGCCCTGAATTCCATTCCAGTGGTGTAACTACACTCCGCCCTAATGCCGTCTGTCTGTCTTTTCAAACTCCCAGGGGACAATGCCGAACTCCGGCTCATCCTGGTCGGGAAATCTGGCGGCGGGAAGAGTGCGACAGGCAACACCATCCTCGGCCGACCGGCGTTCGAGTCCCTATTGGCGGCCAAGACCACCACCCTTGAGTGTCAAAGGTCGCAGGGAACTTGGAAGGGGAAGTCAATTTCCATCCTTGACACGCCCGCTCTGTTCGACGCCGAAATGACGGAGACCTCCCTGGAAAAGCAGCTCGAAAGCTGCCGTCAGATGTGCCGCACCGGTATCCACGCCTTCATTTTGGTCACCCAGGTGGGGCGCTTCACTGCCGAAGACGCGGCCGCCGCCAAGCAGGTCTGGAAACTCTTCGGGGACAAGTCCGCCTCCCGGACTATCATCCTGTTCACCTGCAAGGAGGACCTGGGAGGCGACGACCTGGAGACGTACGTCGGCGAGGCCAAGAACAAAGATCTGTGTAAGTTGATGAAGAAGTGCAACCATCGCTTGTGCGGGTTCAACAACAAGGCCGAGGGGGGCAAGCGGGAGGAGCAGGTCGACAAGCTGATGAAGATGGTGGAGGAGATCACCAAGGAGAATCAAGGGGAGCCGTATGTCATCCCAGAAGATCCCGACAAATCAAACCTGTTGTCCAAACCATTGAAGCGGATCAAAGAATTCAAGGATAAATTTTGAGAGAATGTCCAGGGTTCCGACGGACGCCCGAATGAATTCATGAGCCTCCAGCCAAGTATCGAAAGAAATGCAATGATTTATTAGGAGCACTTTCCCCAAGGGCGGTCGGCTCGGCCCTCTGTAATTTCCTGCCAGCCTATGACCTTCCCTCCCTTCTTCCTTCCTTCCTTACTTCCCGTCCACCCTCTTTTCCTTCCTTCTTTCTTGCCTTCCTTTTTACTCCCCTTTCTTTTTCTCCTTTTTTCCCTTTTTGGGGGGTTTCTTCCTTCCTTCCTTCCTTTTTACGCCCACTTTCCTTCTTTGTTCTTCCCCTCCCTCCCTTTTGTTCCTTCCTTCTTCTCTCCTTCCTTCCTTCCTTCCTTTCCACCCACCCTTCCTTCCTTCTGTTCCTTCTCTTTCCTTTTCACTCCCCCTTTTCTTTCTTTCTCCTTGTTTCTTTCTTTTGCCTTTCTTAGTTTCTTTCCTTCCTTCCTTTTTACTTCCACTTCCCTTCTTCCTTCTTTCCCACCTCCCCTTTCGTTCCTTCCTTCCTTCCTTTCCACCCACCCGCCTTTCCTTCCTTCCTTCCTTCCGTTCCTTCCTTCTTTCCTTCCTTCTTTTATCCTTGTTTCTTTCTTTTGCCTTTTTTAGTTTCTTTCCTTTCTTCCTTTTTACTCCCACTTTCCTTCTTTCCCACCCTCCCTCTTTTTGTTCCTTCCTTCCTTCTATTCCTTCCTTCCTTCCCTTCCTTCCTTTTTAACTCCCTTTTCTTTTTCTTTTTTCTTTCTTTTGCCTTTCCTTCCTTCCATTCCTTCCTTCCTTTTCACTCCCCCTTTTCTTTCTTTCTCCTTGTTTCTGTCTTTTGCCTTTCTTAGTTTCTTTCCTTCCTTCCTTTTTACTCCCACTTTCCTTCTTCCTTCTTTCCCACCCTCCCTCCTTTTCTTCCTTCCTTCCTCTCCACCCACCCGCCTTTCCTTCCTTCCTTCCTTCTGTTCCTTCCTTCCTTTTTATTCCCCCTTTTTCTTTTTCTTTCTTCTTTTTCCTTTCTTTTTCCTTTCTTTTCCTTCCTTCCTCCACCCCGACCCCACCCCCTTTTCCTGCCAAGTCTGGGCGCCGCCTCTCTGCTCCTCCATGAATCAGAAGAGATCACAGGTCATAAATCACCTTCTCCAACCGAAGGACTTTTCCCGGGGCGGTAGGAAACACGCCTCTCCGTCCGGCTCTTGGTCACCTGGGACTCAGTCTGGAGGACGGGATGGGTGGAAGGAGCTTCTGGGGGTGGCAACCAAACTGCTCCGTCCCGTCTCCCTCTCCGCCCCTCCTTCTTATGGCCACTCAAGAGCAGGCCAAGAATGCTTTCCGAGTTGACGGATGGATTGTTTTCGGGAGTTCCTTCCTCTCCTTTTCGGATGGTCGCTTCTTCCCTCCCTCCCCGGCGATGGCCGCCGGGGGGGAATACACGTAGATCTGTGTGCATGCGGTGTATTGCCGTCTCCCCTGCGTGGCTAGCGAGCTGCCACGGGGGGGTGGGGGGGAAGCAGCTATCCGGGCGGTGAGATTTGCTCGGGCCTCTGTCCATAGACAATGGCCAAAGTGCAGCGGGGGACATCCGGCTGGTGAGTCGGTGTTGCGAATCGTCTCTGTGGTGGGTGTGGTGAGAGACGACTCCCCTGCTTCCCGGCCGATGTCATGGAAGAATCCAGCCGCTCTAGTGGGTCCCCTTCAAACAGGGGGAGCGCTCAATTTGCCCCAAGCGCTAGCCCAGCGGAGACACGCGTGTGCCGCTTGACTCCGCCAGTGGACAAGTCAAACGGTGTGGACTCGCAGGGGTGCGCCTACCGGGACCCGTCTCCTCGCGCGAGTCGAAGCTGCTGGCACGACGGGCCCTGTTGCTCGCGCAACTTGGTTCGCCCTCTCCTCCCTCTCCCTCCGGGACAGGGCGAGCCTGCAATGCGATTCAAGCGGCGAGACAACCCGGTTTCGGGGGAGCGGGTGCTCCGCTCCGCACACGAGAATCCGCTGGGCTCTCATGAAAGACGCAATCAAAGCCCAGGAAAGAGCTTAGCCCACTTGCTTGTCGGAGCGAACCGGCTTGCTCGCTGATTGCCGGAGCCAGCGGTTCGGGTCCGAACGGGTCCAAACCGGGAGAATCCCACCCAAGAGGAGAGAAGTTGAGAGACCGCTAGCCCGTCTTTCAAACTTCCAAGCCCCAAGTTTTGTCGAGTTGTACCACACTGTTGATGAGGTCCTTTTTGTGGGGTCTGTTTCAAGGAGAAGCAAAAATCTCCGGATGAAAAAGATGGAAAGGGTTTTTTTGGGGGGATGGAGACTGGAATCTTGTTTGCCCCCCCGGGATAATGTTTTTCCTCTGGAATCTACTTCTTGGAAATAAAAGTACATTTAAACCATCGGCTGGGCAGTTATGTTATTCCCTGAAATGGTGGTGTTACTTCATGTGTTATGTATGTATGTATGTCTATATCTACCTATATCTATCTATCCACCTTTCTCTCTCTCTCTCTGTCCATTTATCTTTAGCTAGCGAGCTAACACTATATCTATATCTTTCTCTAGCTCTATCCATCTTCTATCTTTATATATTTCTATCTCTACATCTTTCTCTACATCAATTTATCTATCTCTCTATATATCAATCTATCCATCCATCCATCCACCCACCTATCTCTTTATCTCTATCTCTAATCTTAATCCATCTATCTATCTCTGTGTATCTATCTAACAATATATCTCTATCCATCTATCTTCATATCTATCATCTATCTATCTATCTATCTATCTATCTATCTATCTATCTCTATTTATATCTGTCTGTCCATCCATCCACCTATCTCTTTATCTGTCTCTCTCTAATTTCTATCCATCTATTTATCTATCTATCTAGCTAACACTATAACTATCTGTATCCATCTATCTTTATCTATATCTATCTATATCGGTCTCTATCGATCTCTATCCATCTATCTTTATCTCTTTCTGTCTGTCTGTCTATCTATCTATCTATCCATGTCTGTCTGTCTGTCTGTCTGTCTGTCTATCGATCTATCTATTTGTATCATCTATCTCTGTTTCTATCCATCCATCCATTCATCCATCTATTTATCATTCCTCTTCCTCCCCTTCTTCTTCCTCCTCCTCCTCCATTTACAAACGTGTG